TAAAACAATTATTGTTAAACAATTATTAAAATATTTTGTGATAGAAATGGTCCGATAAATGCGATTCTTTATGCGACCGTCTCACGACGGATATGCGTTTATTCGCAGGTCTATCGCTGGGTATTAAACTGCGAATGAGATACAGAAACTAAACCATTATATTTATTTGTTTATTAAAAATGCATCAGAATTGCGAAAGTATGGCGCTTGTTACACGAATATTACTCGACTGCTGTTTTTTCGCAAATTTGGTCGTATAGTTTATTATTTAAAACAAAAAAAAGAAAAGCAAAACATCTCATATACGCTACTTTAACAATTGCACCTCTCCAGGGAAGAAAACAAAAAAGAAAGAGGGGCGAAACATCCATCTTACGACATTAATTCGCATAGTTACTGTTATAAATTTAAAGAAAAAAAGAACCAAAAATGATGAACGTGAACGACGCCATGGCCTTCTTTGGAGATAATGAAGATTTGATGAATCAAGCTTTTCACGCGGCGGGTTCCCTAACGGCTATTGCGGCCGGCGACTCAACGGCTGTCATAACGGGTATGGTGGGGGGCGACTTAGCGACTGAAGGCACGGGTCCGGAGGCCATCTTTTCTGGAGAGGTAACTTCCATTTGTTACAGTTATTTAATTTATGTTATTTAATTTCATCTGCTTTAATAGTTCAAAAATAGTTGTTTTTATTTGATAATGTATAAGTAATTTGATTTGAATAATTAACAACAACAACAACAACAACAATGCGATTTGTTTAAGATTCGTGGTCGTACAAGAGACCGAAACTGATCGGTAATTATGAAGGGCTGAAAATCAATGTTTACAGCCGGCAGTATATATGTTCTGATATCAACAACGAGTTGGGCCTCGTTGAAGGGGCCTTGACGGCTTTTCAGGGCTCGGTCTTTGGTCCGTTCCTCCAGTTTGATGATAATGCTAATGTCTCTACAAAGGCAATGCATGGGGTTTTTTCGCGCGAGGTGACTCGTGGAGGTCAGAACCCGAACGAGATGTGGTTCCGTATTGGTAACCATCTTACCCGATTCTCCTCCCATGAGTATGCTGTGGTGACCGGGCTTGCTTTTGGATCGTCTGCATTTAACCCGAACTCAGCGCTTCCTTCTCCTCCATCGTCTATTTTCTATGAGACAAATAAAGGCAGGCGGGTCACTTTGCAGCAGTTGCGTGATGACTTCAAGGCGGGGCAGTTCCGTCACTCTCGGGATGTGATAGTGAGAGTGGCGAAGATGCTAATGCTCATGTACTTCATAATTCCTCATGACGACAAGAAGCGTCGGTATATTGAAACCTGCTGGTGGGCTTTGCTCGAGGACGACCAGATGTGGGAGAAATTCCCATGGGGGAGTTACTCGTTTCAGTACCTGCTCGACTACTTGAAGACGGCCCAGTACAATAATATGAAATATCATATCTACGGATTTCACTGGGCATTTCTAGTATGGTGCTACGAGGCATCCCTGCATTAGGTCGTGCATGTGGAGAATGTACCTCGGTGAGACGTCCACCATGGCTGGTTCACTGGGAACTGAAGAAGGTCACACTTCAAAATACATTTTTTGACCAACAGGTATTATTTGATCTTAATCATTTTTTTTATTATTATTATTAGAATGGTTAGCAAGTGATATCCGAAATTCTTTTTTAAGTCTTAACGATTTCTGATGATTTCTTTAATTTTATGTTCTATTTTTTCAAATTTAGTTGGAGGTGATTGAGACACTGTCGCTGAATGAGGATGAGATTGGCGTGTTGGACCTCTCGAATTTGAATGTTCAGAGGCCTCGATTTTTGCGACGGGTTAACCCAACCAGTCACCGTATACAAGACTCGGCACTACCGTCCACGCTGGCTCTGCAATCTCAAATTGCGGCCGACACTGTGCACTGGGAGGAGGCGAGGCCAACAGATGGGTCGGCCTTTATGAGGATATTCGCGCGTGCGTACGGGCTGAAATGGCTAATGTTATAGCCAGAATATCCTCTGAGGTGTCGGCAATCATTCTACGGGAGGTGCCGACTATTATTTGACAGGAGGTGGCCAATCTGTCGCACCCCAATCTGGGACAGCCTCCTCCCCAGTCCGAGCCAGCCGTCAACTCAACGAGACATTGTTCCACCATCCCCTCCTCGACGAGACAACGTTCCACCTTCACCTCCCATAAGAGCCAGCATTCTCCCATCCACTCCCGTAAAAGACAGCGTTCCTCCACTCCCATCTCCAAGACAGCCGCCGCCAACCCCTCCATCTTCGAGACAGCCGCCAATCCCCCCATCGAGACAGCCGTTGATTCCCCCTCCACCTCCACCTCCCATGATAGCCATCATTCCCCCACCCCCTCCCGTAAGAGACAGCGTTCCACCACTCCCACCTCTGAGACAGCCGCCGCCAACCCCTCCATCTCCAAGACAGCCGTCCCCAATCCCCCCCTTGAGACACCCGTCGCTCGCACCTCCACCTCCGAGACACCCCTCTTTGAGACAGTCGTCGCTACCACCTCCAAGACACCCGTCGCTCCCACCTCCACCTCTGAGACACCGGTGTTGCAGTCCACTTCTTCTCTGCAGTCCTCGTCTTTGGAGATTAAAGTTGATCGACAAAGACGACTAGGACGTGCCTTTGTAAGTAGTCCATATCGAACCGAGGAGAACATACGGTATGCCGAATATAAGGGCGAGTTTGAACGGTTCCTCAAATCCACGAATAATGAAATGTAAGTACATCCAAAAGATCTTTTATTGTTTATATTTAAAAAAAATAACTTTCTATTATATTATTTAATAGGAGGAATATCGACATTCCATATGTGGTGGACAAGGGGTGGTTTAAGGAATTAGTTAATCCGAATGAAATGATGCTTGAGGAGGTATGTATATGTTTGTCTTGTAATATCTTAACATATAAAAATGAATTGATGGATGATGTTTGGTTGGATTTTATAAAACAGCACGTGAATGCATATTTGGGGGTTATGCAAAGCAATCCACTCTTTTTGGACTTGGAGCCACGGGAAGATATGTTGGGCACTCACACCATCGTGTCAACTACGTTTTTTGTGAGATTATTTTAATTCTCTCTCTTTTCCTTGTCATCCCATTTTTATTAATAATTATATTAATAACATTATTATTTATTAATTTGTTGTATTTTATATAGATAATGCTGGATGAATTGGAGAAGGAGATGTATAAGGGGGGAGTGGACCTGGAATCGGAGGCCCTCCGATCATTGATTCGCATTGCCAGTGAGGGGGTTAGCGGTTGGGGGAATCCGTGTCCTTGGAGGGGGATTCAATTTGTAAGTTTTCAATGATTCCGAGTCAATTAATATTGCAATGTTTCCTAAAAAATTAGTGAATTTATCACAACTCAATGCAACAGATTATTGGAGTAGTGAATTTGTCCAACCACTACGTGACTGTCAAGATCTCTTTACTCAAGGGGACGATAAGTGTGTTTGACCCTCTACGGCATACATATTTAAAGAAGAACGAGCACATTCGCGAAAATCGCGTCAAAGGACTCTAAAAAATCCAAAATCTAATTCCAGTGGTTGCGACGTATGCGGATGTAGAGAGAGTGAGCAAAAAGTTCGAATTAGAATTCATGGACCCCAAAAATACAATCTTGCAACATGATAGAATTAATTGTGGTGTATGCGCTGTGGAGATGGTACGAACATTGCTCACGAGGAATATGCGTTCCAAGAAGTCTAACAATCAGTTGGCTAAAACAATGAGGCACAAAATTGCTCTACAAATTTTTCAGTTTAGTACAGAACCAGACACAATTACCGACCCAGTTCTTTAATGATTCATGTAATATATTTTTATTATTATTTTTTTGCATTTTATTATAATTTTGTTGTTTGTTGTATGTATGTGGCATTTCTCATACCTGAAAGAAAAAAATTAAACTAAATTCAACGATGAAGGATGAAAGAAATAAAAAATAACTGAAATAACTGAAATAACTGAAAGATGAAAGAAATAAAAAATAAACTTTCGAGTAGAAGTGCGAATGTGGTATGCGAGCAATATGCGTAAATTCGCATACCCACTCGCATAACTGAAAGATAAAAGAAACACGAAAAAAACTTATTATGCACAAACTCTGCGAATAATATGCAACGTTGGTATGTCGCAGTTATGTCGCAGAATAATTTTATCGACTAATAGTCGCAGATTCATTCGCCTAACAAAAATAATTATTTAATGGGTGACGGACCGCGATTGACCGAATCGTACATCGAATCTCCACATATTCATCGTAGAACAGTCGCATACTTTAACTCATAATTTTCTCGCCCATGCTCATACCTGTCGTCTATGTATCACATAGTTCATCGCATATGTCTTCGTACTTTTTGGGGTGAAAAACTTAGCTTTTTATTGGGTAGTGTAAAAAACTTAGTATGACTTCATAACGGGGTGAAAATAGCTATTTCCTCTAAAATAAATGTCCATCCCCACGTGCCATCCAACAGCCTCGGATCCCCGCCATGGACATAGGCCATAACCTATAAATACGCAAACCCTAAACCTCGGTTGCTCCTCTCTTTCATTTGCTGTTAGCTCCGCGCGCAAGTGCCAATATTTTCCGAAGCAGCAGCAGAAGGAGGCTAAACAAACCTTCCGCCACGCCGGAGTCTGCATACATATATATTTGATATGCATTACCATGTGTTGGAAGAATCTCAATCATCTGAGGACAACAAGAGAGTGAAGAAAGCAACTCAATTTGCGGAGATGGAGGTGGACGCCAAGAAAAAGATCAACAAGGAGAAAAAAATCCAGCAAAAAGACTAAATTAGCTTCCGAGCCTGATCTGGACGATTCTAATTCCAACCCTAACCCCAAAAAAGAGGAAAGGAAAGAAGCGAAAGGCACCGGAGTTTTGCGGCGAAGATGGTGGTGATGAGGAGAAGAGCGAGACTAGCTCCGAGCAGATGAAAGTAAGAAGAAAAAGAAGACGATGAAGCTCGAGGAAAGTGGATTAGTGGACGAGAAAGAGGAGAATCCGAATGCAGTTTCGAATTTCCGCATCTCAAAGCCGCTGAGGGATGCTCTCAAGGCGAAGAGAATTGAATCTCTGTTTCCGATTCAGGCCATGACATTTGATTTGATACTTGATGGTTCTGATTTGGTTAGAAGGGCACGCACTGGTCAGGTTAGGATCTTCCCATTTTTTTTAGTAGCCCCCATTGGCGATTCGTCCTGCGAAACCCATTGGATTTTGTAATTTTCTAGCCTCTAATGTCCTTTTTCTTTCCATTTACTATATATTTGTTTTTATTTTTTGGGTATATTTCAGGGTAAAACGCTGGCTTTTGTGTTACCCATATTGGAATCATTAATAAATGGACCTGCTAATGCATCACGGAGGACTGGATATGGGAGGCCACCTAGTGTTCTTGTTCTTTTACCCACTAGGGAACTTGCCATCCAGGTATCATATGATTTTAGGGTGGAGTTGTCGCATTTCTCATATCTTCACTATTTTTAATATTTGTTGCTATGGTTCTTCTTTTATTATCTTAGGTCTTTGATGACTTTAAATTGTATGGTAGTGCTTTGGGGTTGAGATCGTGTTGCATACACGGGGGTGGGGGTGCGGGTGCTTCATATCCTCTACAACAAAATCAACTGAGAAGTGGTGTTGACATAGTAGTTGGCACACCTGGCCGCATTAAGGTGCATGTTTTCATTATTTTTTATTTGCCTTAACTTTCTGACAACTTTTATGTTCAGACTTGTATCTTATGTAATTATGTAAATCATCTTGCAGGATCACTTACAGAACGGACGTATTGACTTTAGAGCACTGAAGTTCCGGGTTCTTGATGACGCCGATGATATGCTGAGAATGGGTTTTGTTGAAGATGTTGAATTTATTCTAGGTAAAACCACTACTCTAGTTATTGTATCCATGAGTGTTACATGCTTATTGATTGATGGTACTTGATGTTATTCTACTGAATGTCTTAAGGCAAGGTAGAAGATGCCAGCAAAGTCCAGACGCTTCTATTCAGTGCCACTTTGCCACCATGGGTTAAGCAAGTATGGTTTCAGTGTCTAAATATCTTATCGTTTGTTGTTGGATGCACACATCCTTATTTCTGCTATTACTAACTAGTATGTTTTGGTGCTAGATATCTGCAAAATTTTTAAAACCGGACAAGAAGACTGCTCGAATGGAAACTTTTATCGTCTATAATATGCTTCGGTGATTTCAGGTTACACTTGCTGGATTTAGATCTGGGAAATTTTTTACTCTTGTAGCTACAAATGTAGAGGCACGAGGATTGGATATTGATGACATGCAGTTAATTATTCAGGTGTGTAGATCAATGAGCCATTGTTTCTTTTATTCTTTGTCCATTTTTTGTGGTTTCCTTAAATAGCACTTGTAATGATGACATCCCTGCTGATGCTTCAGTGTGAGCCCCCTCGTGATGTGGAGGCATACATCCATCGGTCTGGGAGAACAGGGGGAGCCGGTAAGTTGCTGATAGAAATATTTTTTTTTTGAATTGAAGATACTGTTGGAGTTTTATTTAAGAGATGGATTGTCTCTGCTTTTATCAGGGGAAAGTGGTGTTGTTGTGAGGCTTTATGAACCCCGACAGTCAAATTTCTCTAGGATAGAAAGAGAATCAGGTGTCAAGTTCGAACATATATCTGCTCCACAGCCAGCTGATATAGCAAAAACTGCTGGTGATGAAGCTGCAGATAAAATAAACGAGATATCAGATAGGTTGTTTTGATTTATGTGCTTATTGTTTTTTCTTTTTTCCTTTTCTTTTTGCTCCTAACCATTTACACAATATATCTAATGCCTATCAACTCAAACCATGTAGTGTGGTTCCTGTGTTCAAGGCTGCTGCTGAAGAGCTTCTAAACTCTTCCTATCTATCCCCAGTTGACTTACTTGCTAAGGCGTTGGCCAAGGCTGCTGTAAGTTTTGACTTCTCATGCTGGGTTTATTGGGTCACATACTTTGATTTGATAGTTGACACTCGGTTTTTTGTGTTCATGTTATGCAGGGTTATATTGAGATCAAGACCCGTTCGCTGCTCACTTCTATGGAGAACTATGTTACTGTAAAACTCGAGTGTGGAAAACCCGTTTCTACTCAATCGTAAGTAGTTGCCAATGATCTCAAGTTACTTTTTCCATTTCACACAATATTTTTTGAGGAAATTGGCTGAAAGCCTTTTTTCATATAATAGTATTTCTGGGAAAGAAGTGTATTTCGGTGTGTTAGATTTATATAGTCGGGAAAAGGGTGCGGTCTCATAGAGGTGAAACACACCGTTAGAGGGTGAGCCTAGGTGCGCCTCCACCTAAGTGAGGTTCCATTGCAAAGCCAATTTGCCCCCTACAAATCAATGTGGACAACTCACAAGGTGATATCCCAACATGGTGGTTTTGTGTTCATCTCATATTATTTTCATTTATTTTTAATCAACTACCGTTCAACATGACTATGGGGGCTAGTGTATTTGAGAAATTTATTGAAAATATTTTTTGGCTGGTTGTGTTTGTTAGATTTCGATTAATTTTATGTCCCACATCGGATGTGTACCAAAGATGTGTAGGATCTTTTTAGTATAAATAGGTCTCTTGCCTTTGGGTTACAATTGCACCTTATTCTATTCTCTCCTATTGAGAAGGAATCCTTAATTAAGGAAATCCTATTTTGTGAGTTATTTAACCCTAGTTGTATTTTGTTGGTGAGTTCAGTAAATTTGGCGTTGCGGTTGGCAGTGCCCGGAGACGTAGGCTATTTTCGCCGAACTCCGTTATCAATTTTTGTGTTCCTTTTAATTCTCGTCTTTTATTTGTGTTGGCTTATTTTGGAGTAGTGTTCGCCATATTTGTTGGAGGGGTATTTTTGTTAGCTGCGCTAGTTGTGATACCCCAACAAGTGGTATCAGAGCCGAAGGTTCGTCCCAAGCTCATTTGGAGAGGCGAACACTGCATTCGGGTTCGAGATTTCCAAGGAGGACAAGGGCGCATCATCCTCTGCATTTATTCCGGCAAGGACGGTGATGCCGAACGTCAAACTCTCGGTGGAGATCTTTGACGGGACCGGTCATTTCGGCATGTGGCAAGGCGAGGTGTTGGATTGTCTATTTCAGCAAGGCGTCGACATTGCGATTGAAGAAAAGATGCCAACAGACGTTGAAGAGAAGGACTGTAAGAATATCAACCGCTTAGCATGTGGAACAATTCGTTCGTGTTTGTCGAGGGAGCAGAAGTACGCGTTCAAGAATGAGAACTCTGCTCACACTTTGTGTAAGGCTTTGGAGGATAAATTTCTGAAGAAAAGCGGCCAGAATAAGCTCCTCATGAAGAAGCGACTGTTCTGATTCGAGTACCGACATGGCACATCGATGAATGACCACGTCAACGCATTCAATCAATTGGTTGCAGATTTGTTGAACTTGGACGTCACATTCAGCGATGAAGATTTGGCTCTTATGTTGTTATCATCACTTCCAGATGACTTCGAGCACTTAGAGACTACTCTGCTCCATGGGAAGGACGATGTAACTCTTGCAGTTGTCAGTTTTGCTCTGTATAGCTACGAGTTGATGAAGAAGAACAAACAAGAGACGAAGAATGCAGCAGCAGAAGATGAAGCGTTGGTTGCAAGAGGTCGGTCGAAGGGCCAAAAGAAGAATGGAAGAGGAATATCACGTTCCAAAGTCAAGCTTGAAAAAGACGAGTGTGCTTTCTTCCATGAGAAGGGACACTGGAAAAAAGACTGTCCTAAGTTGAAGAAGAAGGGCAAATCTCCTCAAGATGCATATGTTGCTGAGGGTGGAAGTGAAGACTCAGAATTTTCACTTGTGGTTTCACCTTCATCATCTCATCCAGACGAATGGATTTTGGATTTAGGATGCACCTATCATATGTCTCCCATAAGTGAGTGGTTCTTCAATTTTCAGGAGATTAATGGAGGGGTTGCCTATATGGGTAATGATAATGCCTGTAAGACAACTGGGATAGGTTCAATCCTTTTGAAGAATCGCGATGGTTCCACCAGAGTTCTGACGGATGTTCGGTACGTGTCGAGTTTGAAGAAAAACCTCATCTCATTAGGAGCCTTGGAATCCAAAGGCTTGGTAGTGACTTTGTGAAAGGCATAAGGAGGAATAATTTGTATTACTATGAAGGTGATACAGTTGTTGGGACAATAACAGTAGCAGATTCCACCAACAAGGAGTCTGAAACAGTCAAGTTGTGGCATATGCGTTTGGGACATGCTGGTGAAAAGTCCTTGCAAACATTGGCAAAACAAGGACTGTTGAAAGATGTCAAAGTGTGCAAACTAGACTTTTGTGAGCATTGTGTATTGGGAAAGCAGAAGAGAGTGAAGTTTGGAACGACTATCCATAATACCGAAGGTGTTTTGGATTATGTTCATTCGGATGTTTGGGGACCTTCTAAGACCCCATCATTAGGTGGAAGACGCTATTTTGTCACTTTCATCGATGACTTTTCCAGACGTGTTTGGGTGTACACTATGAAGACGAAGGATGAAGTGCTTGGTGTCTTCATTATATGGAAGACACAAATTGAGAACCAGACTGGAAGGAAGATCAAAGTCCTACGAACGGACAATGGTGGAGAATATACATGCGATCCCTTTCAAGAAGTTTGCTGTAAAAATGGTATTGTTAGGCACTTCACCGTTAGACGGACACCACAACAAAATGGGGTGGCAGAGCGCATGAATCGAACATTGGTGGAGAAAGTTCGATGTATGTTGTCCAATGCTGGTTTGGGCAAGGAGTACTGGGCTGAGGCTGTAACATACGCGCAACACCTCATAAATCGTTTGCCGTCATCTGCAAAAGATGGTAAAACACCATTGGAGGTATGGTCGGGGAAACCTGTTGCTGACTATGGATCTTTACATGTCTTTGGGTGTCCTACGTTCTATCATGTGAAGGATTCAAAGTTAGATCCAAGATCAAAAAAGACATTGTTCATGGGAATCACAATTCGAGTGAAGGGATATCGTCTTTTGTGTCTTGAGACGAACAAAACTGTGTTTAGCAGGGATGTTACATTCGATGAACAAAGTATGATGAAGACGACGCAAACCCAACAGGTGGAGTTGACACCAAAGCAGGTGGAGATAGATGCGATGACGAGACAACCAGCTATGATCGAAGAAACAATATCAAACGATTCGTCGGATGATGAAGTTCAGACTCATGAATCATAAGATTTACCCATTGCATTGAGAAAGCCCAGACGAGAGATTCAACAACCTGCTCGATTGGCGGATATGGTGGCTTATGCACTTCCAATTGTTGATGATGACATACCTTTTATTTTTCAAGATGCAATTCGAAGTTTAGAAATTGAGAAGTGGAAATGGATATGGAGAAAGAAATGTTGTCCCTCCAGAAGAATCAAATTTGGAAGGTGATGCAACTACCAAAAGACAAGAAGGCGATAGGATGCAAGTGGGTATTTGCAAAGAAAGATGGATTTCCTCATAACAATGATGTGCACTACAAGGCAAGGTTGGTGGCTAAAGGCTACGCTCCGAAGGAAGGAGTTGATTATAATGAAGTGTTTTCTCCAGTTGTTAAACACTCTTCCATTAGAATTTTGTTGGCCTTAGCAGCACAGTTGGATTTAGAGCTAGCTCAACTTGACGTGAAGACGGCGTTCTTACACGGAGATTTAGATGAGGAAATCTACATGACTCAGCCAAAAGGATTCAAAATTCTTGGAAAAGAGAATTGAGTCTGTAAGTTGAACAAATCGTTGTACGGACTGAAGCAATCTCCGAGGCAGTGGTACAAACGGTTTGATAAGTTCATGATTGGGCGGAAGTACACACGAAACAGACATGATCATTGTGTGTACTTACGCAAGCTGCAAGATGGATCTTTCATTTACTTACTCTTGTATGTGGATGACATGTTGGTTGCATCAAAGAGCCAAGTGGAGATTCATCAATTGAAGGCTCAGTTGAATCAAGAGTTTGAGATGAAAGACTTGGGGGAAGCTAAGAAGATATTCGGGATGGAGATAAGCAGGGACAGAATGAGAGGCAAGCTTTGTTTGACTCAGAAGCAATATCTGAATAAGGTACAACAGCGTTTCGGCGTAAAAGATGAGTCGAAGCCAGTAAGTACACCACTTGCCCCTCATTTGAAGTTAAGTGCCCAATTGTCGCCAAATTGTGATGAAGAACGAGAGTACGTGGCTAGAGTCCCATATGCAAATGCAGTTGGCAGTTTGATGTATGCGATGGTGTGTACAAGGCCCGACATTTCACAAGCAGTTGGTGTTGTAAGCAGGTATATGCTTGACCCTGGGAAAGGTCATTGGCAAGCTGTGAAATGGATTCTACGGTACATTCAAAGTACTGCAGACGTTGGATTGGTTTATGAGCAGAATGAATTTGGTCATTGTGTAGTTGGATATTGTGATTCTGACTACGCGGGTGATTTGGATAAGCGAAGATCAACGACTGGATATTTGTTCACTTTTGCAAAAGCTCCAGTCAGTTGGAAGTCTACCTTACAGTCAACAGTTGCTTTGTCTACAACAGAGGCAGAGTATATGGCGTTACTGAAGCTGTGAAGGACGCTATTTGTCTTCAAAGTTTGCTTGAAGACTTGGGAGTTGGTCAAAAGGACGTCTTAGTGCATTGTGACAGTCAGAGCGCTATTCACTTAGCGAAAAATCAAGTATTTCATGCAAGAACGAAGCATATTTATGTTCGCTATCACTTTGTGCGGGAGATTCTAGAAGATGGAACTGTTGTGTTGAAGAAGATCATGACGACGGAGAATCCTGCAGATATGATGACCAAGATAGTGACAACAGTCAAGTTTGAACATTGTTCAGACTTGACAAACATTCTGCATATTTGAGCTGGCGCCGTGAGGCGCATTTGGAGGCACCGCTAGCAGTTGAGTTGGAAGTGGGAGCAAAAATTAGTCAAGGTGGAGAATTGTTAGATTTTGATTAATTTTATGTCCCACATCGGATGTGTACCAAAGATGTGTAGGATCTTTCTAGTATAAATAGGTCCCTTGCCTTTGAGTTACAATTGCACCTTATTCTATTCTCTCATATTGAGAAGGAAATCCTTAATTAAGGAAAT